AATTTATTTTTATATAGAATGTGTGGAGTTGCAGAAAAGTATTCAGGGACGCTCTCGCAGTTCACCTAAATAATAACTACTCCGACTTTAACACGCTAATGATAAATCCGGAGTAATTATTTAGTAGCAACGGCAACCATAATTATTTTATTGTATGTTTACCCAATTTAATGGTGTAAGAATACAACTCAATAATTATTTCCACCCGTAAGTCTTCAATCCCGGTTAAAGGTAGAGAAGGCTTACGGTGTATTTAAAAAGTGTTCTATTTTATGATTATATCAATTTTAGCTCATATTCCTTGTAACAATTATGTTTATGATTGGGCCCTTAATTAAAAATCACAAACATTTCAAATTTATTTATTTTTAAATACAACATCTAAGTAAAAATAAAATCAACAATCCATGTTTAAAATATTCAAAACATTAAGATGGACAATTAATTACACCAACTTCTAACCCCAATGGAATTTAGAAGTTCATAGTTTGAAGCTTAAACAAATAAATATTTATTACAATAATAAAAATCTTACAAAATGGAAGATGTGTTCTTGAGCTCCAACTAAAATTGATGGTGTTGATGATGATGAAGATGGAGTAATTTTTATGTGTTTGGAAGAAGAAAGTGGTGAGATATTAGTAATGGAGGAGGAGAATTTCGGACTAGAGAGAAGGAAGAAAATGGGGGTTCCAACCTCCTTGAAGAAGAGAAGGGAGTGGATTTTATAGATAAATTCGTATATATGGAGTATATACGAACAGTTACAATTCCAGTCAAGAACATTAACCTTGTCTTGCCGTGTCACCCGTGTTCGAAGCTTCCCACTATTCACTGTTTTGTCATTTTTCTCTCTGGATCAATGGCCGACTTTCGGTTAAGAACATTAACCTTGTTCGCCAGAAATATGCCGAATAATCAGGTTTGGCGCGATGGTCAAAGCTCCGGTTCCACATGCCGCACGTCCAGAGTTCGAATCCTAGGGCTGTTTTATGCTTTATTTTTGTTTGATTCCTTCATTCCTTCAAGTTTCTTCCATTTATTTTGGTCCCAAACTTCCATGTTTATTTTCCATCCTTGCAATTATCCTAAATGCATCCAAATGACCTCAAAATGCCTGCAAAACATATAAAACCAAGCATAGGACTGCTCTACCAAAATAAAACGGAAAATTGGAACAAAATATAAATATTAAATTCAATTGGGACTCAAAACTCCTTCAAAATATGTCTAAAAAGTGTATAAAATATGTGCATATCAACTCCCTCACACTTAGGCTTTTGCTTGTCCTCAAGCAAAATAAACTACAAATACAATCTTTACATGTGTTGTTAGTATTTTCATACATAACTTTACAAATCACACAATCATCTCTTTTGTCCACCAAACTATCCAAAACCCATGAATTGTCACAAAATAATAAAACGAGAGTAACTTGAGTAATATTGTCTATCCTAGAAACTTTCATGTTAATAAGCTAACAGAAACACCTATAGTGCTAAATTAGTTAAATTAATATAAACCAAGTTTCTCCAATCCAATTATTTTAAAAGTGACACAAAAAGATCAATTAGGACTTTTATTCGGCTTGTAACGGGGCTAAGGGTAAGTGGGCAAACAAAGAACGGGTATAAAGGATAAACAAAAAGAGATAGATTATACTTATTTTGATCAGGAACTCAAAAATTATTACAAATGTAACTATGGAGCAAGGTAAACAAATGACTCGAAAATGAAAAATGACAATTATTTTACAAATAATACAATAAATGGTACGGGCATTTTTATTTAATTACTTTTTATGCCCAAGAAGAATAAAGTCTAAAAATCTAAAAAGTTCAAGATTGGTATGCTTTTTTCTTTTTTTCTTTTTTTTTTCAACTTTTTTTTTTTAATTT